GATCATCTCAGCGATCATCAAAAAAAAATTGCCAGGAAGATACAAATCATCTGCCGTGTCACCGTGTTAACCCAGCTATAATGAAAGACAGCAAATCATCTGAGTGAAATACAGGAATGCAGATCGCACAGCTGCCTGTCTGCCATAATGCATACAGAGCAGCTCTATATGGCCACAGACAAATCTGTTCGGACCTCAGATGAGAAGTGAATCCTGTGAGGACGTCGCTGAGCTTCTGCCCTTAGACCTCTGACATGAGGCCACAACGGCTGGGAAACACTGTGGGGCGCTAAGTGCTACCCTGTCATTCCCAGAGATTCCTCCAAGCAGAAGACTTCCGTGACTTGTCAGCCTGGCTAAGAAACAACCAAGCTAGGTTCGGGTGATCTCTCAGGACATCTTCAGCGCAAATGTTGTCACTGGGAAAGAATGTCTCTTGGAGGGCCATCTGGGTTGCAACCAGGATACAGTTCAACCGCAGATTCACATTAAAACATCAACTGAAAAAAGTTAAACAACAAAAAAAATGCATTTAATCAATACTTTTAAAGGGGAAAAAAGCTATAGAAAGGTGAGGCACAACAAAGTTACACATTTCTTGGGCAAACGAAGGCAAAAATACATCCGACAGGAAAGTGCACAAAGAACGAAGGACTGGAATTGCACGAAAACAGCATAAAAATTACATTCTCTTCATTCATTACAAACCCTGTGTTGTGCTTTCAGAAATGGGGGTGGATGGGTTGGGGGGCGAGCTGAACAAATCTGTTTCTGTTTTGCCATTCAGAGAGGCCCTCCATGCAGAACCCTGCCACAACTAACATTACAAAAAAAAGACAGACGGCAAAATGAGGGAAGTGCAAAAGAACGCGGGAGCTTTGCATTACGCCGCAATTGGGAGAGAAAAGCTTGGCTAGCGGATAAACAGGCTGTTGCATTTCCACTTGCCTGCATGGGATGAATCCCCTTTAGCACCCAGTATCTTTTCTAGAGACAGAAAGACTAGAATCTGAGGCATGAGAATGGTAAAGATCACAATTAAAACTGCACAACAATATGAATTTGCGTCTCACCTGTGTATTGGTAAAACAACTGGACTGAACTTGTTATGTGGTTTTACATATGCTGACAGTGAGCCTACCTCTACGCATCTAATTTGCACAATGCCATGCATGAGTGCACCAGAAGTAACAGGCCGACAGGATCCAGATACATTAACAAAGAAGCAATGGTTTTTCGGATGACTTTGGGACTTTTCAGCTTGTCCCAATCTCTAACTAGCCTCATCAGAAAGAAGCACATCCCCTTGCTCTCTCCGTATCCTTTATGCAGACTGGCAAGAACAAGATGCATTGTGTTTTAATGCGTAATTGGCTTAATTGGTTTACTGGTTGGAGAGGCTTAAATGAAAGGAGAAGCTGTCTAAGAGAAACCGAGCCAAATAGTGCCTTTGTCTTTGGCTTCCATGTGCCCTCCCCACCTTCACAACGGGGGATTCGACCAATCGGTGCCTCGCAAGCTGTTGGACAAGACCCTCACCAGCAGTCCTGGTGAATTATTAACGCAGCCCCACAGAGCAAGAGCGGGAACAAACCTGGGGAACTTTAGCAATAGCAAGGACAACTGGATATTCCTCAATCAAATCTATGTATCCTGAGTAATGATTAAAACATGACTGTGCAGAAAGCACAAGTGGCACTTTTGCTGATTGTTCCCACATTACTCTTGATACAAACACTACAAGCACATTAACTGGCAATCTTTGGGATGAAGGAAGAACGTCATTACACGTCAACGCACAAGAGTTGCGAATCTAAAGTTTGATTTGCCTTTGCAAAGGTGTGATGCCCGACAGTTGCCTCCATCCATTTTCCAGCTTGCAAAAACCCAAGAAACCAAGATGCCGCATTTAAATCAACACCAGAAAATTGAGTCTCAAATGGAGTCTAATATATTAATTCTAACAGAGTGAAGCAAGCATGGCTTTTGACTGGTTAGAATGACCCAACCGGAGAAACAAATATATTGAAAACCCTGCACTTCAATTTGATTTGATTGATTTAGGAATGCACATGGTACTTCCTTCTGATTTACAGAGAAAGTGACAAATTCTTGAGCATTTACTTTCCAAATCACATTGGCGTACAAAAACATCTGCTACTGCATGTGTAAATTCATATATTTCCCTCAAATGGATTTATTTGCACCACAAACGGGTGGATTTACAACATGTTTGACATGGCCTAACAGCTGGAACTCACATGTGAGACGGATCTCTACAGAAATGGCCAAAAAAGTTACTTTTCACCTCACTCTCCTTCCCACATGCTCCAACGTTCAACCTCCCAAACTTCTTACATTCCCTCTCTCATATCCTCTGCTTTTAAAAGCATGTCCTTTCTCCGACAGAAACACTGCAAGGGTTCTTTCTGTCTCCCTGCTGCCGTCAGCTGCTAAAACACGCAGGTTGCAGCGATGAGCACTATAAATATGATGTACAGCTTATGCGGTGCCACTGACCTCACAACACGTGCCAAAGGAGTGCGGGGGAGCAGGTGCCATGCAGATTTATGACACTCAGCGAGAACTTTCACCCTCTGTGTACTCTCATGCCCCAATGAGCAGAGAGTCCGGCCTGTGATGACTGAACACATTCACTCCTCCATGACAAAACAGCATGTGGGAGAAATACAGTGTGAATGTAAAATGTGCGATTGTTTGGATACACTTTCATAACTTTGCCTGTGGCACCTGGCACTGCTGAAAGTTCTCCAGCCACCCCCTTCTTTGGGAAGTTTTGGAGAGTTCTAAAGTAGTGTTGTTGAGTTATTCAAGGATTTTTGGGTGATTTTCTGCTGTATTCAAATTTAATTTGAATAAATGAAAATTACGTTTTAAATGCTAGTCAGATGTGCATTAGAATTTTTCTAAGCTACATGTCAGCATTTCCAGCAAGATATTATTTTTTTTTTCCAAATCTACCAATCGGGTGCAAACTCATTTGACAGTCACGAGGGGACCATATGGACCATATTTTTCCTTGAGGAAAGTGCATGCCACGTACGACTCAAGCTTAAAAACGACTGCTTCTTTGGAATTTTGAAAGCCATTTTATCTTGTATACCAAATGGCGCTTAGCTAGCACTTGGCAACGCCGAGACCATTTTGTATTCCTTCACCCATACTAATCTCAGCTGCAATAATAAACAAATTTAAATTCTTTATCCCGTGCCAAACAGACGTGTTGCAGAATAATGAGAACCTCAGCACCACCAGCTTCTTATCTCCAACTAGTCCTCTCCTTTCATTCTCCACAGCACTCCAGTCGCTCTTGACAGAATTAGCCTGGTTCAGCATTGAGAGTTTAGCCTGATGTCCCTATTTCCTGGGACACGGGGCAAGTTAAGCTTCAGGATTTGTGATGAAAAGAGATTGGATGGGGAAAAACGAATATAAGAAGTGCCCACATCTTCTCCTCTTGTGGAGAAAACCCTCTGGTTGACTGCGGTGGAGGTAATTACATCTCAAGTGGGATCGGACCTAAAGGAAGAACCTGCATTTGCCATGTTTTCCGCCCTGGGGAGAAGCGAACGCTTTGTGGGGAAAATGATTTGTGGATAAGCTCCATTGTAAGAATGCTTGTGTTCCACAAGGGGTGGAAAAATTTAACCCCGAACGTGTGGGAGATTTGCATTTGCACGTCCCTGAGGCAGAAACCATAGCCCTAATAATACAAGGCATTGGGAAGGCGGTCATACTAATGATTGTGGGGCCTTCAAGGTCAGGACTCTAGCCCTGAGCAGGACCCCATAATGAGGATGCACATGAGACGGGACTAATCCAGTCTCAGACTGTCACGTCCAGACAACCAGGTGCATTTGGAACCACCACAGACAGGTTTTAGGCAGCATGTGCAGCATTGTTGCAACAAGACGCATGAAGGCTACATATCACAAAGAGATGAAATTCTTTATCATACCACCCAATACATAGCTTTTCATTGTTTCTAACAAAAAGCTACAGTAATATCTAAGAGCTCAGTAAAGGTTTATGAATGTTTTAAAAGTAACTGAAGAGTTTGCTATGCTTGCTGACAGCACTTAACATTATAATACTCTAGCTCTACAACTGCATTATGAATTGGAAAGACTAATTCAATGTAAGAACTGAAAGATATTACAAAACCATTTTTATAACTGTCAGGCAGGCTATAAATATCATCTGTACCGTATCTCTGTCCTTGTGAGATTGTGAAACAGAGTGCTCTCTTGAGGCTGTAGTGTCATTTTCTACGCTCTATACCAACTATTCTCATCTTCCACTGGATCACCCACATAGCCAAAGCCGCCTTTTCACTTAACGACTTGTTTCTCCAGTGAAGGTCAGAATGTTAGCAAGCTTTCTCCAAACATAACACCACACTCACTGCAGGAGACTCTCTGCTCTGGCCCCTAGAAGGTGAACTCTATTTCCACTTAAGCAAAAAGGGTCAGGGATCTTCTCTCACCGATTGACTCATCTCATCTGAGTGCATTTAATCTGGAAATTGAGGTTCTGGCTGACTCTGCTCCTTCATGTCACAAGTGTCAGAACGTTCTAGGCTACTCTCCCGAAAATAACATAGAAAGGGTGTCCAATTTCCACAGCTTGACATTTGTAAAGAATATAAACAGTTTATGAATGGTAAAACCTCGCTCGATACAGATTCATCGACAGACTTAAGGTGAAGGTTATGCAAAATCCATGAAAATCCAGGAAGAATAAGAGACTCTACAGAAGGACCTGCAATGATTGGATCTGAAACGGGTCATATCTCCATAAAAACTTCATGTTATTACCAGGCAACCCCTAATTTATCTTACAAAAATGTCAAAAGCTCATGAAAGAGATGAAAAGACACCCACAATAAAGCAAACATGTTATTTAAATTAGATATTTGAGAGAAGCCCTTCTAGGGTAAATATAAAGCAGTATTTTAGGTAAGAATAAAGAAGCAGTACCTGTGTAGCCCAGAGAGTTGTCGTCATCGTGTTCTGCAGTGGGGGTCTCTGTGGCCCTATTGCTAGTCCCCTCCTGAGTCCCCGTGTCTGTTGGAAGTAACACAGACTCTAAGTCCTCAAGCAAAGAGTATTGGGCCAACGGCGACACAGTAGCGCCCCAGTATCCCTGATACCAACAGATGAGCAGTACTAGGCTCTGCAGACGGTGACTTTTGAAAGGTCTGCAATTGCAACCTCCAAACTGCATTATCAAGTCAAGAAAGCACTTCAAACTTCCCCAAAACAAATATATAGAAGCTCCAAGGTGTTACTCAATTTTTAGCCATTAATCCATTGGAGAATCCCAAGAGCGCAAGTCCTAAATATGGCATTTTCCTTATCTTCACAGGCCTAAAGAGATGCAGTTAGCCCTGAAAGTCTATGTGTATGTCTGAGGAGTGACGGTGTGTGCCCTCTTGCAGTTCATGGGCAGAACTAGGACGACCAAACTGCAAAAACACACAAAGTCACTGACACACCCTATTTAGATCTGTATACAGTCATTGACTAAACTAATTCCCCAATCAGCGCATGTCGCTTTTCTGGAAGATGGACTGACAGCCCTCCTCTACGCCTGGTTTAGAAAGGGAGGACCGGGCAGGGGGTGTGGCAGATGCCCCCCACCATGGCGAAGTGTGGGATAAATCAGACTGGAGCCATGCCCACTTCCATTGTTGGGCACTGACAGGGGGTTAATTTGGAATGAGGGGAGGTGAAGGGGCCTGTTTAATATAAAGAGGGTCAGAATGGGCCAGATGACTGGGAAGCATCCTGTCAGGACCGTCATGGCCGTGAATGAAGATTGGCATCATTTAAGGAGATAAAACCGCAGACAGGCAAAACAAAAGGAAGTCATTGGAGAGCACTTAGAGCTCGGGGAAGTGCGACCACTGTCTGTCCTTTCGTTCACCCTGTCACTAAACCTCACTAACAAATATTGCTAATCCTTCAACATTTCAAAGTCATAATTGAGTGCTTGAATGATTTTCAGGAGAATTCAAATGCCTATTTTATGACTTGGGCCACACTAGCTAGCACTTCTGTTGATGCATTTAATGAAATGACACTTTTAGCCTGCTATATGCTGAGATGGCAGATTCTCAACAAACACCTCACTGAGTACGTTCACAGGATCTCAAGGTCGTGACCATCATGAGACTGTTGGCTAGCTTGTGTTCCAAATACAATTCCAAATACAACATTTGTGCAATTTTAGCAATGTTAAAGGACAGTTCATGAACATTTAACATCAAGCATGCAAACACATAGAACTCACACATTTACTTGAGTCTGTCTGTTTGTGTATAGACACCATATTGACTTCACCATACCATCAGGCTTTTCTGTTCAAACCTCAAGACCCAAGTTCTTTGTAATGCAAATGAATCAATAAATAAGATTTTAATACCAGGTCTATAAGCATAGACACATTTAAAGCATTTATTCAATATGTAATCTCTACACAGAATTAGCACAACTCACAGAATTCCAAAGAACTGGAAAAACCAACGTCCACAAAATTCTACATGACAACTATACACAAATTTCGATGCTAAACATCTATACAACAAATATTTTGGAAAATAGAAATCTCAAAACATATTTATATAAAAAAGAACAAATAGTGTATACCCTGAAGGGGAATCAATGTAGACAAGGAAACCTTAAACATTCTAGCTCCAAAACTGTACTGGCTACTGTAGAATGTGGATTTATGGTGGGTTTAGAGAGAATACTTCATGATTCATTAACAGGTGGTGTGCCCAGATGCCCTGGAGGACACACAAACAAAAACCTGGTGCTCCCTCAGATTCAAATGGCCCTGAGCCACACAAACCAATCCAAAATGCCCTGCCTCCCCTGATGGCTAATTAAACCAAACCTTATGCGGCTAGCTGACATGTCTACATGGGCCCATTAGAAGGATGTTCCCCATGCACCCCAAAGCCCCGGCTGTCCGCTCATTTTCAGACACACACCCTGCTTTCTCGTTTTCTGGCTTTATTGATTTAAGGAGAAGGTGATGTACTAGCTCAATAACAGTGGACCCAGACAACCAACATAAACACAACAACAACAATTGAATTTGTTCATCTTAATGGCTTTAAAAATCAAGTCCATTTGTTGAGTCTGCCATCAGTCGGTTAATTATTTTTTAAGGCAGGAGAGGGCATGGGAATTATAAAGAAAATGAGTTACCGTGTTAATCGGTACACTTTAACACACCTCTTTTTTGATAGCAACTTCAAATTTTTAGTTCAGCTTAAAGCCCTGATTTATGAAAGGGGTTTAATTAAGTCACACGAATTAACTTAGCTGGACATAAATTAATTTGTGCAGAGAGAAAGAAATATGTGAACAGTGCAACCAGACTGCAAATTACCAAAGATTATGTTGAATGATTGTGTGGATGGACGCAGCTTTTGGTCTGCAGGAAAGAGGAAGGGAACACACACGGAGAACATACTATTTCTGATTATGAATAGATTCAGAATGTAAAAAAACTTGTTTAAAGGACGTGTTAAGACATTAAATTAATAAAATTGCTTGATACCTGCAGCAATAATCATATGCAGCTTGTGCCAGCAACAATCCAACAGTGCCCATGTAAAACAAGCAAAAATCTGTAATTCTACAGATACTGTATGTGGTGCAAACTACTCTAATCTGAGAGAAAAAAAGAGACCACAATTTTTAAAACAATTTGTTTTTGCTTAAACTGGTCAAAGTCTTCACCAAACAATTCAAGTAAGAAGCTAGAAATGCAGTTTTTTGTACAGTTTAAATTACTGAAATTTTGAATTTGAAGATCTTAAGCCTAAAAAATATAGAATATAATACAGAATATTACATAAATATAGAATATAAAATATAGAGGTATAAACATATTTTAAAAATATGGTGTCTCGTGCATTTTATGTACAATTTGAATTTCTGAAATGTTGAACTTTAGAAATTTGAAGTTCTGAAGCCTAAAAAAATCTAGAATATAAAATAAATAATATAAAATAGAATATAAAATATAGAGGTGTAAAAAATGTAAAAATGTGGTGTCTATGGAAACCCGTTTCCGCCACTGAATAAAAAAGGTAATTGTGACTTTTTATCTCACAATTCTGACTTTTTTTCTCAGAACTGCATGATATAAACTCGCAATTGCAAGTTAAAAAGTCAGAATTGCAAGATAAAAACTCGCAATTCTGACTTTTTTCACGCAGTTGTGACTTAATATCTTGCTATTCTGACTTTATAACTCGCAATTGTGAGTTTATATCATGCAATTCTAAGAAAAAAGTCAGAATTGTGAGTTTATATCTCGCAATTACGAGTTTATATCTCACAATTCTGTGAAAAAAGTTAGAATTGTGAGATAAAAAGTCGCAATAACCTTTTTTTATTTTTTATTCAGTGGCGGAAACGGGCTTCCATAGGTGTCTCTCTTGCAGTTTATGAACAATCTGAATTTCTGACATTTTAAATATCACAATTTTGAATTTGAAGTTCAATTTGAAGTAGAAGTTGAAATTTGAAGAAACATTTAACTTTTAAATAAACATTTGTATAAACATTTGATCAAATCTGTACAAATGTCTCAAAAACAATTCAATTGTGTTAAATGTCATAGGAATAGATTTCAAATTCAGACCTATAAAATATGCCCCAAATATATACATTTTATGTCTAAAATCCAAATGTGCAAAACCCAAATTTTATTTTATTTTAGTCATTATTTATCTATATTTAAATTGTGCAAGAATCACCAACAACTATCATTCAAGTTACACACCAGTTTTAGGAATTTGTTCAAATCTTTAACCAAGTAGAAGCAACAATAATAGAACTGGATCTGGCTAATACCAGATCCAGTTCTGAGACAGCAGCCCAGCAGTTAATATCATCAAGGCTCCAGCCGGACCACTCCAGGGTCCGTGGTTCTCTGAGGGTCTGATTAGCTCCCGTATTATTGAAAAGTACCAAGGGAGAGATTATGCAGATGAGGGCACTGCGGTCCACACAGTGGGCAGGAAACCAAGCATCATAATGAGAGACTACAGAAGAGCTTTTCCTTCTGTATGGGACGTACAGACAGGGAACAGGGGAGAAATGGTTATGGGAAATTACAGGGTGGTTTCAGAGAGCTTAGGAGAACCAGACCGTCTGGCATCTAGATATTAAATAAGCTAAGGCCATGGACATATCTATAGTGCTCTTGAGGTTGTTAGTGTTGGCCCACATTTTACTACTATTTTATAGCCTATATGAGACTTAATGTAATACTTAGTTAAGTATTAGTGAAGTTTCAACATTGATGAAAGTCTCAAATTTCGCAGATGTTTCTCCTTAGGTGTCTTAGGAGAAATAGAAATAGAAACAATTGCGATACAATAAGAGTGTATTGTAGACCTGTACAACTAATGTAAAAAAGCATAAACAATGAAAATGTAAAGATTTGAGTTCAATCTTGATCTTTTTTTATTTCAAACTTTGCTATTTTAGCAAACTGGATTACAGTTCGTAATAAAACAAAAAGTACAAAAAAGAACAAAGCTTTCTCAAGAGGAAAAAACAAACAAAAGGCAAGCCAACCTTAGGCAAGAGGTGTCCATTTGTTCACCACTCATTTTTGTACAAGAAAACCAACTAAGATATTAAAAAGATCATAGGAAACTGATGATAAATCTTTGAGTTCATTTTGAGATCTCTCGTGACAAATCTTTCTTTGTAGGGGAAAACAACAATCGGAAGCAGGAACCTAAAACAAGAAGTTTCCATTTGTTCTCCACTTAATCTCATTGCTGTATAAAAGAAAGAAATAAGATATTTAAAAAAAACATCTAATTTGTGATTGTCTGTCCTACAAAGTATGTGAATGAAATGTTATTAATCAAACAGCATGCCTAAATTAAAATCATGAAACTTATACAACTTAAAATTAATTTATTAAAAGTTTAACAAAAACAATAATTTTAGCACCCTAAAAATGTGTAATGTGGTGTTTGGGTTTTGTCATGTTCATGTTTTCCATGTCTTTTATTTTGTAATTGTTT